ACTTGTCCCATCTGGTGTGAATGATGGTTACCTTTTTAACAGTAAAAGCTAGTAAAGGATAATGCTGTTGAGCAGGAGAGGTGTAGAAATCATCAGCAATTCTAGGAATGTCAGAATGCTTTATACTGAGGCCGATCACTTGTCCATCTTTCCCTTTATCGTCAACATTGACTGGCAGCAATGTTGGCTCCTTCCTAGCCAAACCTGAAAATGTTGGAGATTGAAATGACATGCAAACATGAGCTCTACTACTGAGCTTCAGCTCCTCTGGGATTACTCACGAGATTTCTTGATTGTCTAGGGAAATATCCAAGGCCAGCAATCCTATTCACATTTATGGGCTCATAAGTGCCACCAAAACAGAATGGAACTTCCTTTTGAATACACTTGAACAGGACTAAGGTCTAGATCTGCCGCATCTAATGAAGCAGGTTCTTGTGTATGCAACATTAAGATGATCCAAGGCTCCTTATATCTTTTGCTGTACATGTACTTTCCCTCTGTCCTCATAGATAAAGATGAGGTTGCACAGAAGTTCCAATATACTAAAAGCAGTCTTTATCTCTTAAAAAAAATATAAGCTTCTCATAATCTCTTACTGTCCTTTAAACTTAGAACTCACTCCCAGGAAAGTACCTGTTAACATATCCTTCCTTCCAATCAAAACTTAAAAATCCATTCTTAGTGAAGCTTTTAACTTTACCCTAGCCCAGGGGTCGGCAACCTTTAACACTCAAAGAGCCATTTGGACCCGTTTTCCACAGAAAAGAAAACACCGGGAGCCACAAAACCCTTTTGACATCTAAAATGAAGATAACACTGCATATATCATTTTTTACCTTTATGCTATGTATAAAAAAACTATAGTGTGTTGAATTTATGAAATCGATGAACTGCTACAGAGAAAACAAATTTTTATTTCTGCATGCAACAAAAACATTTTGAACTCCGAAAAAAGAGAGGCTGGGTTGAAGGTTACTTTCAAATAAAATACTCAATGTCTATTTGAGTCCTCCTTGTATTTATGAAATAAAAAGCTGAACTTAAATTATCCACCTGTAGCGAAACAAACATGCCACCTGCAGCAAACCAAAAATGCCCTCTGCTTCTGTGTGCCCTCATCCTTTTATCACATGTACTGAAGGGTGCAGTTAGCTGTCAACCTGAATAAAAAAAGGACTGATACTTTCATAAAGTAAGTAGAATTTCTGCAATACAACAAATATAAATAATAGTCTGGTGAAATATTGAACAAACATCCCTCTCCCAATGTGATAATGTTGCTGGAATTTTTATAAGAATCTTCTTAAAACAAGGAAGTAGATCTATATCTTCATTATGATTTAGCTGCATCTCTTGTTCAGTCACTAAAAACTGTTATTTTTAACCTTACATTATAAAATAGTAGGACTCATTTCATATATTTTGAATAGGAGAACAGCTTCCTGCAGAGTCAAAGTCAGTGCTAAAGGACTACATGTAAACCCCATAAGTTCGTCAGCAGTAAAAGCAAATGAATCTACCCATGTTCCATTAAATGTTCGGCTTTCTTCTTCTCTTCGATTTATCCATGGTTGGCCTACCGGGGGGGTGGGGGGTGGGGCTCAGTAAATCGGCCTGGGTCGCAGATATAGGTGTGTTTAGTGACTGATTAGGAGATAAACAGTCAAGTGATGTGAATTGTGACAGGTCCCAAGCGCAGCTTTTAACATTCAGATGAAGGAGATTACATTGGGATGAAGAGAATCTTTTCAGCAGCCTTTCGTGTAACTTGAGAGCCTGCAGGAAGCTTGTTCCACTCTTTCCCTGCAGAGGAATGTAGCGATTTACTTAACCAGCTAGCGCAGCGTTCATGAGTGGAGCTTCGATCACAGATCGGCAGCTGTGCCGGTGCATGTTTTGAGTGACGGAGCCGCAGCAGAGGGATGCAAGAACCATGTGCAGCTCCAGAGCCGCGGGTTGCCGACCCCTGCCCTAGCCAAACCCAAAACAATGTGTTAGAACAGGGGTCCTCTAACTTTTTCACCAGGGGGCCAGTTGAAAGTTGCCAGTGCTGGGTGTGGGCCGGAAAGGTGGTGTTGGCAGTGCATGCAGGCCAGGCCGGGGGTGGGGGTGGCATGGGCAGACACTGAGGTGGGGGCAGGGTGTGCGATGAGGCAAGGTGAGGCGAGGCGTGGGCAGGGGCAGGGGCAGGCACGCGCCGCAAGGCGGGCGCATGAGGCAGTGGCTTGCTCACTTGGAGATCATTTTCTCCCGGCAACCAAACCGCTGCCTCCCCGGGAGGGTGCGGTGGGTCCAAGTGGGCATGGCGGGCCAGATAAATGGGCATAGCAGGCCGGATCTGGCCCCCGGACCATAGTTTGAGGACCCATGTTTTAGAATATAGTGTTGTATCTGCCCAGTCTCTGCATCCTGCCTTATGGTGATTGTTTCCCCCCTGTTATGTTTGACAGGCTGGGCCAGCCCCATACTTTGTCAGAGCAAAGCAGCCTGCCCTATTTTGCAAAAATTATTGTGGGCATTCTATGCAGGTTGGAAGGAGTGTGGAGGTGAAGGTTAACTATAAGTGAAGAACCTTGGAGCAGGAGAAAGGAGGCTGAAGCACTGTCTGGAGACTTTGTGTCTTGGCTGTGCCAATCTCTTTCCCTCTCCTCTGTCTGGAATGCGCACGAAACCCCTTTCCTGACCTCCCAGAAGCAGCCAGTGCAATTCTTCTTGCAAGGTGCTGCAAGCGCTGAGTCCCAGCTCTGATGTCAGAGCTATTTTGCAGCTACAGAGTTGCAACTCTGCAAACTCCCATGGTTCTCGAGACAATGTCCAGCAGCCACAGCATTGTGCTCCCTTTCTATAATAAGAATAACAATAATGCCAGATATAGTAGACACCTTTTAGAGTTTCGATCCTAACCATGCAAATGTATTTGGTCAAATGTAGGCCATATCGACTATGGACTTTTAGCTACTAGCAACAAGAATTGCATAGTTGTCTCTTTCTAAGTCAGTTCCCTATATCGTGTCTCACCTTAACCTTTCCTCAGTAGTAAAATGAAGTGGAGCACCAATTGGCATCTGCTCCCCCAAGTCACAGTGCCTAACACTCTATGGATGCTCAGGGTATTTAGGCAGCTGATGAAGAAGAGCCCTACAAGTACCTCTCCTGTACCTTGACAGTAAAAATACTATGTAATAAATTACTATTGTATTGCAACAATTTGCAGTTGCCTGAATGGGCCACCTTACTCTGTCTAGCAACAATATGTAATAGGACAGAACAGCCTGTCCTCGTTTCTCATGCATGGCCAGGCCAAGACCTATTGATGGCTCGGGAAGGTGGGATGCACCTGTCACTCTTCTTGTATGGAAGGTGACCTGCCCCACATCTGAAGCTTGTTTTCGACTGTTCTGGAGTGAGGGAACTGAGCTAGTCTGAGACAGAGCAGCAACTGGTACCTCTAGGCTGAATCTGTCCTACTCAAGGTACATAGTGCAAAATAATTTCTCAATGTCAGTCATTTGGGCAGCTGATGAGGAACATCTCACTAGCCCCTCACATCCCTGGTTGTAGAAATGCAATAACTGAAATAATTGACAATGTGCTGCCCTCTCCTGGCACCAAAAATCTGTAGCACCTGCCTAATAGTAGGACCGGCCCTTGAAACTTGCTTAGGGAGCACAAGGCAGGCTGAGTGGCATTCACACCTCTGTCCAGTGATGCAATCTTGCCAGTCTCTGCTTCTCAGGACTCTCTGGCCTAGATGGCTATTTGCCCTTGATGCCACTTCAAATATAGGGAAAATTAAAGTGCTGATTTTGGTGGCAATGGCAGACTAACTCCTGACCCTGAATAGTTCCTTCTTCTGTGGCAGTGATGATGGAGAGGGAGCGGATGCAATGAGTTTGTGTGAGTGCAGACACTTGCACACCACACACCCCTTCTTGCCATATCCAAACAGCTGCTCCTTTTTATTTTAACGACTACTATAACATGAAATACGGAACAAGAGAGCCAGTGCAGTGGCTAGTGTTGGCCTGAGACTTGGTAGGTTCAGGTCTGAGTCCCCACTCAGCCATGAAGCTCACCAGGTTGCTTGGGGCCCATCCCTGACACACAGCGGAACCTACCTCACAGGGCTCTTGAGAGGACAAGATGGAGAAAATCATGTAAGCCATCTTGGGCTCCTTGCAAGAGGAAAACAGGTGGCCTCTAAATGTAATTGACGATGATGATGATGGCGACTGGGGTGGAACAGCAACTGGGCAACAGCATCCCTCCCAAATGCCCACTTCCGTTCGCTCTCGCCCACCCACTCGATGGGAATCGCCCGCGAGCTCTTCCTCTCCGCGAGCGAACTGGCCGTGCGTGGCTGCGCCTCGCCCGCGGTGGCCGCCGCGGCACTGCTGCGAGGGAGTCCTTGCCAGCGTTTGCCCGGAGCCGAGGCGAGCAGGCGGCGGCGGCGGCGGCGGCGGCGGCAGGAGGAGGGGCGCGCTCGGTTACGCATTGCGGCTGGAGAGAAGCCGCCGCCGCCGCCGCCTGCTGCCGCTGCTTTCTGGGGCGGCGGCGGGAGGGGCGGAGCCGGTGGCTCGCAGGGGGTCCGAGGTTCCCAGCCTGCCAGGAAAGAGTTTGTTGCTCGCGCAATCCCAGTGCCGCTCCGCTTGGAGGGGCCGGGAAGCCAAGGGGGCGGAGTATCGCGCTCGCCGCCGCCTGCTACCTATTCATTCAGCCAGTCACCTAAAATGGCTGGAGAGCGGAGAAGGTGGAGGAGACGGGGGAGGTGAGACAGCCGCCGCCGCCGCCGCCGCCGCCGCCGCCCCCCAGTCCCTCCACCACCCGAGCCACTGGCGAGGGCTTCCCCGCCTCCTTCCCCGCCGAGGCGAGCGCTTTAAATGCAGCAGGACTGTCGCGTTCCTTGGTGAACTTGCAGACGTCCGTGGCGCCCTCCGTCTGGCTCGCGAATGTAACGCGTATAGCGCGCACCGACGTGCATTCAATGGTCTGTTCTTCCTCTCGGGTCCGCTCCTGCAACCTTTGAGCCATGACGACTGGCCCAGACGAGAGCTCCGTCAGGGTGGCTGTCAGGTAAGGCGTTCGCCTTGGGAGACACCCGGGCAGCGTATCCCGGCGACCTGCTGCCGGCCGGAAAAGGCGAGGGCGAGGGCGAGCGGGAACGTGGTGCGGGCGGTGGGGGAGCTGCGAATATGGCAGCGGAGCGGGGCGACTCTGGCAGGCAGGCAGGCCTGGGCGAAGGTGTGAGGGGGAAAGCGCCGGTCCTCCGCCCGAGGCCGTCGCTCCGTTTATGCTCGAGCGGGATGGGGGGGGGCGCTCTGGAACAGGTAGCTTGTGCATCATGAAGCTGCGTGGCCTGCGAGTTGACCGCCAGCTTTCGACGGAAGAGTCTCCTTGAGCGAGGAGCGTAAAGGAGCATCCTCCTGACTGGACTGCGGAAACATGCGTGGAAAAGTGAATTTTTCCTCCAAAGAACGGAAGGGCTGGGATGCTGAAAGGATAAATCTGCCCACGCCACACTCCCCGTATCGACTTCAGCTGCTGGGCCTTTTTAAAAAGGTTCTGTTGTGTTTTTTATTCCCCCCAGAACAGAGGTTGCAGTTTTGTTTGCAGCTGTTGCATGAAGGAATTTTGCTCCCCATTGCATATTTAATTTCTAGTGTTTCATGCTGCATCAGTTATGTCTGAGAAAATGAGGATGCCACTCTGTTTCTGGTATGCTCCAGTGCTATTGCTTGTGTAAATGGGACTGGAGGGCATGCCAATCCAGATTATGGGCCTGGTCTGTGGCCAGTAGCAAAGATGACTGATCAATATATTCTTTTCAAGTGATATATTCAAATGTCAAGTGATTTGGGCAGACATCATGTGCAATCTTATGCTGAAGTTATTTTATTGTGCATGGTGTGCTGAATTCCATTCCGGAAGACCACTAAACTGCTATTGTTGCATTCCTGGATTGGCTAATTGGTTGTAATTGGACAGGCTACTTGGGATTACAGAAAGTATCAGGGAGTGAATAAATGAGTGTCTTGCTCAGTGATGGAAAATTGCAACATCACTCTACTGCACTCAAAAATTAATGAAGTATTTATAGTGGAACCTGTGTATCAGCTAGGCTTGTGCCAACAATTTTCTGCCTGCCTCTTTCATCTCCACAGTTACAAAAGACATTTCTTTGTGGTGTTACTTTTTTTTTTTAACTGGGAGTTCTCAGACACATGAAATAGAGAAACACTTAATTAAGTGTTGATTTTCCATATGTGTGTAGACTGTCCTGTTTGCTCTGGTAGTCTTCCAACCATGAATAAGGGTTTTCCAGACTTAATGTTTGGTACTACCATAGTTACTTGAAGAAAGCAATGATCATTCATTCTACCATGTATGCCCGATAAGTCTTTCTCGCATCTTTGTTCTTCATGAGCATCTTTGGTATGATACAGTAAGGCTTCAGGCCTATGCATCAGCTCTCTTGTATTATGCTAAAGCTTTTCACAGAGAATAACTGTGCCTGTACAGGTGTGATGGACTATAACTGTCAGTATGCCCCACCCATGAGCAAGGCACTCATACTTAGCCTAACCCTAACCTTTAACGTTGCCTGGATTGAGGAAGGACAATTCAAGTACAATACAATCAAATCCATCCATTTGTTTGTATCCCCCAAGTAATAGCAAATGTTGATGGAAAAACCCGAATTCAGAGTGTTAAGTTGCTTACTTGTTGAAAAGCTTTCAGAGAGTTGGAACAGGCATTTCTGTCTGTTGTGTTACGTCTTGTCAGCTGGTATGATATTGCAGGTTGTGATGCCATCCTGGCGCAGCATTTTATAAAATAAAATCCTCAGCAGTTTGTTTCTGGCTGTCTTAGTGGAAATAGTAACACATTTACAAGACACACAGAGCCTGACTGTATGTGAGCTTCCACTGCATGAAATAATGATACTGAGGAATGAATGAAATGAATTCTTTGTGATGATGTATTATGTTGCAGCTGGAACATCATGCCATGAGAGATTTAGTTTTTGCTGTTCATCTGTAAAACTGAGTGGAACATGCACAAATGCCTGGTAAAAATGCCTGATATGATGGATGCAGAAGGATTGTTGTGATTAGGTTACTGACTTTGATAATGCTTGTATTTCAAAGGAGTTTGTTGTGCTTCTAGTACATGAAAAGGCAACGCCCAGTGAATGGTGAGATGCAACTCAGGGAATGCTGTAAGGGTTTCTTATTTTTCTAAGTGCTGGTGTCTGTCCTGTCACTGCATTCATGTGTATTTACTTTAGTCCCTACAAAGGGTGTTACCAAGCTTGTAACTGAGCAGTAGATCTATAAAAATGTTTTGTGTCCTTGAATTCAATATAATACATTGTATTTCCACAGTCAGACAGACTTGCTGTGTACGTACTGTGGACAGACAAATATAGTAGAGGAAAATAGTGTTACTGGGTCATAGATAGAAATGATGAGAAGCCCAGTCCTAAACAGTGGTGCCAGTAAACTTGTCTACGTTCCCCTAGTGTCAGCAAGCATTACTAAATGTGACATGGTGTGCCTTCCAGAATAACATATTCACTGCTCTATAAAAAGTTGGCTGTGCTGAAAAAGTTAGAAGGAGAAGCTTAGAATCAGGCAGACCCATTTCCCTAAGGAAAGAGATATCTTTCTGTCCAAAGACAGGGTGCAGTTACTGAAAAAACTGTAAATAGGCCAGTTGGATCTATATTTGAAGAAAGAACTGACATTTCAAAAGGGCTTCTTCAGTAGATTTTAGCACCTGAGTTCAGTCTTAATGGCAGTGCCACTTATTCAGATAAATTGTACTTACTGGATACAATAAGTTTCTCCAATCTGTTTGGTTAAAGAAGAATACAAAGTGCTCCTATAAAGTGCTACATGGCTTGGGATTGCAGTACCTGCTTCTCCCAGCTGCAATCTAACCATACTTTTTAATCAACATCTGAGGCCTTCCTCTGAGGGCCACCTCCAAAGAAGGCATGGAGGGCAGCAACAAGGGGGAAGGCCTTCTTGGTGGTGGCCCCAATGATCTTCCCACTGAGGCCTACCTGGTGCCAACTTTGTCATTTTGGCACCAAGTTAAAACAACCATCAATATTGAGGCATTTAAAGATGTTTGCAGTTATCTAATGGTTTGATGGGGCACGCATGCCTGGTGTTTTAAACAGGTCTGTTCTGTTTTAGGTACCATTTTAGTTGTTAAACCTTTTTTAAAAAACAAGCTGATTTTAAATGGTGTATTGTGGAAAAATTATGATGTTATTATTGTATCATGGGCCTTTTTAGGAACTGTTTTAAACCACCAGAGAACGTTGTCTATTGGGTGTATAGATGTTAAGTAACTACATATAATACAATGCATATTTTTAAAAGGAAATTACAGTTTATTCCCTACTCTGAGGTGATGCCCTGAGTCCAGAGACACATGCCACAAGTTTGGTTACTCCAGAAGATTTTCAGTGCATTTCCATAAGAGCAGTCTTACATGCCATATGACAAACAGTTTTTGAGTAACTGTGGAGGAATTTTTTTTAAAGCCTCGTGATATGGCAAGTGGGTGGGCTGCCATTCAAGCATCTTTTTTGTACTTTTGACTTAAAACTTTCATTGGAAAACAACAACACCTTTTAAATCTTCTGGAAGGTTTGCTTTCTTGGCTACATTGGCCACTGCTCAGTTCACTAGATTTCTAATGGAATAAAATGGAGTACCTAGGATAGAACAATTGAACCAGAATTTCAATAGAAAAGTTTGGACTGGCAAATCCAGTGGTCCTTGGAGACCATTATAGCAATTCCAGGAAAAAATCCAAAGACAAAAGGGCTTGTGGCATCTTTTAGCTAACCAATTTATAATGGCACAAGCTTTCAACAGTTACTTTTATCAGATGGCAAGTCTTTTTACTTTGTTTTAGAGGACATCTTGAATCTGCTGATTGTACTCAAATATTGAATTTCTTTCTTTTTTTTATGACTGACCAAACTAATAGCATTTAGACTCCCCATTTAGTAAGCTCATTAAGCTACCATTTAGACTCCAGACACTTAGACTGACATTGTAATACGTTATTATAATCAACTGAGACTATGTACATGATCAAAGACACAGAAGAAATAGAAAACCTTTTAGATGAAGCTTTGACTCTTCATCAAGTCATCCGTTTAAGCTGCTCTCTTACGTTAGAGAATGACAACAGTAAACGAATATGGTTCTCAGGAGTTGGACATTAATTGCTCAGAATATTTGCCAAAAGCCTTTCTGAGCTTTCATACTTCACTCAACAGGAATATCTGGTACACTGTTCACTACCCCATAATTATGCATAGTATACCGGAATAATTAGTCTGCAAGATGGTAGCTTAAGGGTTGCAATAATTAGAAGAAGTGGCACAACTTCTGTGATACTATAACTTAGGATAGCACTGTAAGTGTTGCATGGAGAGTTCTGGAGAAACTTATTTACTGATATTGAAATTATATTGGCCAAACTTACTATATAGTCCTGTCTTTGTTCTTCACAGGTAGGTTTGTGCCTTCCCCCTTATTAACAAAGTTCAGGAACCAAAAACTGTGAATTGTCATTAAAAATCCAAATTCTGCTAATTTCTCAGTAGTCCCCAACAAAAAATAATGAGCCCTCTACTTGTGTCTTCTGTTTAATTCAACCAGCTAATTTATTTAGTGACTTCAGTCACTTGTTTAACAACGAGCATGCTCAAGGAGCATTCACAAGCAAACATACATCTGTGTGCTGTAACTTTCAGGACAAAAGGGCCCGTTTTAGAGCTGCACACTCCTACATATCAAAACATTTTACTCTTCTGACCTTTCCTAAAACAACTATAAACTAGCTTTTCATGCAAATTTTGACCATGAGAAAGATACATTTCTGCATCTTCCCAGTGTCTGCTACTCATTTGACAAAGTGAGTATCTTGCCGACAGTGTAAGTGTTCCAGGATTGAAGGATTTTCAGACCATGGTCACATCATTTGGTAGCAAGTACCACAGATCAGAAAGGTTGTGAACAGCATTACCTCGCATTTAAAAAAAT